TGTGGAACAACTTTAAGACAGAAATGCTTCCCATTTTCTGGAGGAGAAAACTGAGGTTTAAGCATTTGGGAAATTGGTCCACATAGCTAAAGAGCAAGTTCAGACCTAGGCTAGGCAGTCTGGCTTCAAAGTCTGCACTGGCGAGTCCTACCTCCCAAGGTCAAAGCTTTCTAAATAGACCAAGTGTGAAACCTCCTGCCTGTTCCCAGCTCTCAGTGGGCTCGGGGGAGGGGGGAGGAGGTTGGGTAAGCAGCTTGGTCTCTTTAGTGAGTTTCAGACAATCCAGGCTTCAAAAAGACCCTGACTCAAAATACTCAAACCAGAGCTGGAAAACTGACTCACTGGTCAAGCACACAGACCGCTCTTCCAGGAGACCTGAGGACTGTTGCCAGTATCCGGTTCAGGCATCCCACAGCTGCCTGTAACTCCAGGTTCTGATGCCCTCTTCTGGCCTCCATAAGCACTGCGCTCATGTGTGTAAACCCAAACATACATATGCACATAATTAAAAGAAAAAAGCAAACTCAAACCAAACAAAAACCCTAAGAAACTGACCCAATATATGTTTATAACTGAAGAGGAAAGAAAATGGACCCAGTACTTACAGGAGATTCAAAAGAAAGATGGAGACAGCCTGCGACAAAGCCAAACCTAAACTGCAGAATAAACAGTACCCAGAGGCCCAAGAAAACCCGGTACAGAACAATCATCACCGAACATGCTAGTAAAAGTACAGACTTCCTTCAAGGACAGTGAGGAATGGCATGCCATTCAGGCTTAGGGGGAATCAAGTGTCTAACAGTGACAGACAAAAGTCAAACTGGCCGCTGCTGTGGTGAGGCACAGAACTCGTAGGTTCAAGGACAGAGAGATGGCTCCGAGGGTGCCAAACCTGACAACCTGAGTTCAATCCCCAGGACTACACGACATAAACTGACTCTGTTCCTGTAAGTTGTCCTCTGCCACGTGTGCCATGCGTGCACACCCTTGCCCCCGCCACACGTGCAAGTGAGCTTGAGCACGCACACACACACACAGAATAAATGCATTTTTAAAACATCTTAATGGGCTAACCTCCCCCAGGTGTGCTGGCACGTGCCTGCACTCAGAGCACTGCGGAGGTGGAAGCAGGAGAAGGCGGCTAAGGTCATTCTCTGCTTCCTGCTGACTTCCGGACCAGCCTGGGCTACTTGGGCAGTGGGAGGGGGACAGCAGAACAATTCCTACAAAGTCATCGGGGGAAGAACTTACGGAATAAAGTCCAGGGCCTCTAAAATAGGAAGGCAAGCACAGCACAGCAAAGAGCTACCATTGGCTGGTGCCTTTAAAGCTCTCAGACTAGGGCTAGATCCGGACCAACCTTTTGGAGCAGGATAAATATTTGCATTTACACTAACACAGATAGCATAAAAATAAACTTTGGCTTAGTTATGACAGACTGCAAGTTTTGACTAGGCAAGTGTTTTTTTTTTCTAGCCACAGAAACAGGGAGAACAAGAAGCCCCTGACTAGCCTTAGGCCACACTCCAGCCAGTCATGAACCTGTGCTTCTCATCTAGGAACGGAGCTCTGCTCACTCTTTCTGAGTCTGCTGCTCTCAGTGAGCACCCAGGTGTGTGTGTGTGTTTGTGGTGTGTGATGTGTGGTGCCTATGTATGTGTGACGAGTGGTACATACGTGTATGGTGTGTGTGTGTGTGTGTTGTGGTGTGGTGTGTGTACAATAGGTATGCAGATATGCAAGCCCCTGCAATCGGCAGGAGCTGCCAGGTGTCCTGTTGTGTTGCTCTCCACTTCATATTCTTAGAAAAGGATCTCACTGAACCCGAGGCTAGGTCGGGGGCCAGCGAGCCCCAGCAACCCTGTCCCTACCTCTACAGCACCGGGCTGACAGGCACACGTGTGGCCGTGCCAAGCTTTTTATGGGGGTTCCGGGAATTCAGACTCAGTTCCTCGTGCTTGCACAGTAACCACTCTTACACAGTAAGAGCCATCTTCCCAGGCCCCAGGTTTTCAGTCAATGAAATGCTTGCCAAGAAGCGCCAGGGACAAGACTTAGTAGCTAAGGGCATGCAGTGTTCTTGCAGAGGACCTGCATGTAATTCCTAGCACCCACAGGATGCAGCTCACAACTTCCTGTATCTCCAGCTCTGAGGACAGGGGAGGGGTGCTACGCCTCTAGCCACCATGGGTTCCTACACACACGGGCACATGCCCTCCCCCCACATGCACCCATTATATGATTTGCTTTATTTTATGTCTGCAAAGAATACAAGAGACTGGTTTCATAACGCACTGATATAAAAGCTTTCGGAGACTGCCTTTCCCCCTAGGAGAGTGGGATGGTGACTCAACAGTGTTCCCAAATGGTGTGGAGGAAGCGTGCCTATGAGGGGAGGCCACTGTGCTGTGGCCAAGTGTCCTTAGGGGAAGACATTGAAACGTGTGCTACCCTGTGACATCCTACACCACGGCACAGACTGTAACTTACACATGCATTAGGATACGTGCCTAGACCAAAGTAAATAATCGCCAGTATGGGTTAGTTTACCTAGGGCCACAGACTCTCTGAGTCACATATCATAAAACAAAGCTCAACAATAACAGTGAGCTTTAACAGTCCCTTCAGTGTTTGACCTTCAAACATTAAATCTAAAATAAAAAACATATAACTAAGAGATAAGCTGTGTTGTCCTACGGGCTTTATGAATGTCACATTGTCCCTCTGTTACTTATTAACCTCATGCCAGGCATGGGAGCCAAACACCTTTCCATCCTGAGCTCAGTGAAAGGGTTTTAGATTATGAAAAGCATCCCCAGCAGAGCTTTGTCCCTGGGTCATTGCTAGATCAGGCCTTCGGTCACGTACCACCCCCATAAGCTACTAATGACCCAAACAATAGCTAATGTGTCAGAAGCTAATTAAATTCCAAAGGACAATTATCTCATTTACCTTCAAATAATCCTGTGAGATAAAGATGCAATGCAGTGTGTGGCATGTAGAGAATGTTCTAGAACAACACTACTATTGCAGATGAGGAAACTGAATCTTAAAGGGATAAAGCAGCTAAGCAAGTCAAGACTGCATTTAATCCAGAGACTGTCTCAGCCAGTAGCTTGCATGGCTAGTGCGTACAAGGCCCTGGATTGGATCCTCAACACAGAAGTCAAATCAAAACAGATCCAGTCAAATCCAGAGCCTATCTCCTGCTCTTAGCCACTATGCCGTTTGTTTCCCTCACACGGAAAACTAGTAAGAGGGTTACAGGACAAACAGGACCGCAGTCTCTCACAGTCCCAATTACGCAGTATCCAAAAACAGCTTTGAGAAGGCAACTCCTACCTAATACAAAAGCCACAAATTATATTTTGGGTAGTGAAGAAAACGGGCAAGGAAGAGTCCAGGAGAAAAACAAGCTAATAATAATAATAATAAAACCCACATCACATACGGTGCACATAGATACTGAATGTAGGCCTTAGTGGTGATCCTAGCTCAGCCCTTAGGACCAAACTGCCTTCCAAACACAGGAATCCATCAGCCTTTACTGTCAGCTGACCAAAAAACTATAACCCAATACACCAACGCGTATTCTGTGTGCACCACAGTCTGAGAACAAGAACACAAAAGAGCTCAGGTCAGATACTCTCACATTATTTTTTTTAAAGATTATTTTGAAGAGTATACAAGATGCTGGGCTTCATTAAATTTACAGTACTGCCTTTTAGCCATAATCATCCCATTGTTCTCTCTTGTTTCCCCCTCCCTTTGACTATTAATTTTTTCTTCAGTGCTGGGATAAAACTTGGCTCTGTGAGTGCTAAGCATCCACACCTGAGCTACACTCCCTTTCCGCAGCTTTATTCTCAGAGAGTAACAATGATCTATGCTGAAATAAAACAAGGGCCCTAAAATAAACAAAAAGAGCTAAAAATGCCTCACGTCTAATTACGCCTTCAAGAAGGTGGCATTCAAAAGTCAGGGTTACTTTCTTCAAAGTAAATGAATCCTGCTGGGAAAACATGTCTCTTTTAATTTCAGTATTATGTACTCATTCCAAGATAGATCTTATCAATGTTCTTTCCAGAGTTCTAAGCAGCCGGTGAAGGGGGGAAATAAAGACATGAAGTCTCGGGTCATCTAAGACACAAGGCCGGTTTCAAGGTAGCAAGCAGACTAGAACCTCTTGGAGAACAAGGGCCCTGCAGCCCTCCAAAGGCCTCAAGCTGACCATCAGAGATACCCTTTCCAGCACGCCAGGGAAGCAACTGCTTCCCCTCTAAAGTGACCAGCCAATAAATACTTACAACTTAACGTTTAAATTTTTAAGTGGAGCCACAATTTTTCCGAAAGCCCTACGCGATTAAAATTCGCTAACGAAAAAAATAAATACGCTTTGGTTAAAACAGCACAATTCAAACAGTCCCCTGCTGTGCGACCCCACCGCCGCCACCCTATGTGATTCAATTAGCCGTCTTCCTAATCTTTTCGGGGCTTTCCTCTTCCACACAGGAAGAAGCAGAACACCTGCCTCGGCCAGCTCGCAGCCGCGGGGCTGCTGTCAGCAAGTGGATGCTGTTCCGCCCAGGCCACTCACTTAACAGTCCTGCAGCCCCCGGCTCCCCCGCTGGTCCAGCCACCTCGTCTCGCTGCTTCAGATAGCAGCAGCGAGTCCTGGACCTCAGAGAAGGATGCTCTGGTGGCCGGCCCCCCTCCCAGACCGCCGCGACGAGCGCTCTGACCTGACAGTCACCGTCACGCTCCTCCGCCTTCGAACCGGCCCCGCGCGCCTCCAGCAGGCTCTGCCTCGGGAGTCCCCGAGAGTCCCCAAGTGTCCCCGAGCGTCCCCGGTCCCCGACCCACTCCTGGGCGCCCCTTCCCATCCCGCGGGCGCTGCGGCCCTCCCAGCTAACAGCCAGGCCCCGCCGCGCCTCCCCTCGCTCGCCCCTCTCCCCAGGCCAGGCCTCCGCGGCGTGGTCGCCGGGCTGCGGACTCCTTACCGGGGAGCTTGAGCGCCCTGGACAGCACTGTCGCCATGGCGGAGGGCCCCCGTGCGCGTGCGCGCGCCGCGTCCTGCCGGGAAGTGTAGTTCGCTGCGGGCCGCGCGTGGGTTCTGCGAGCGCGAAAGGTGTGACCTGCTGGGAGCCGGGCTGGGAGGAGGCGCCCGCTGTCGCAGGTCGCCCGGCCCCAGGCTGAATCGCTGTGGCCTCAGCAGTCGGTAAGGGAAGTCATCTCTTCCCCCAACGTGTTCTCAGAGCCTGGAACGAGGTAGCAGTTAGGGAGGCGCGGGCTGTGAAGTTCACGTAGGCTTGGAATTGACAAACTGGATTTGAAGCCCACCTGAGCTATTCACTGCCTGGGCCATCTTGGCAGGTCACTGCGCTTTAGCGTTGTTTGTCTGTCTGTCACTCAGCCTGTCTGTCTGACCTTGTTTTTGAGACAAGGGTCTCAATGGAAACTGGCTTTGAAGGTGAGGATGACCTTGAACGCCTGATCCTTCTGCTTCCCCTTCCATGCACTTTGTTTGTTTGTTTGTTTGTTTGTTTGTTTGTTAACTTATTTATCTCTGGGTTTGAGACCATAGAATGCCAGCCAGGCAGGACTGCATAGTGAGACACTGCCAAATAATGAATGAATGAATGAATGAATGAATGAATGAATGAATGAATGTTCTTTTTAAATTATTTATTTATTATTTTTGGGATCATTTAGTACAGACTGGCATAGAATTGGCTGTGTAGTTGAAACTGGCCTGGAGCTCCTAATCTTCCTGCCTTCACTGCAGAAGTGCTGGAATTACAGACAGGCGACACACCTAGCCGGCTCTCTTGAAATGTAAATGATGCTGTTGATGCTATCTCCTTCTTGCTGCAAGAATCAAATGACACCATCCTTTTACAGCACACAGCTACTGTGGCTCTTTTCTTAAGAGCAGACTGAAGTGGGCGGAGGCTCTCCTGACCTCAGTTCCTTCTGGGTATCTATTTACACTCTCCCTGCTGCTCCTGGCTCGCCAGGTCCAGCAAACAGGAGCTGACTGGTTTCTCACTCACCGGCACCAAGAGATGAGCATCGTAGTACAGAAATGCTGAAAACTTCAGCTTTAAACTGAAGCGTCTCAGTTATCTGGTCCCGTCTCCTCACCATCTGCTTGCTGAACACTGATAATCCGCTCCTGGTCCACAGAAGTTGTTCTGAGAGTCAAATGGAATGGGCAAAGCACTTAGCACTGGTGACTAGTGTTTCCTCAGTGGCCTAGTGTCTTTTCGGTTGATGTCTTGTTGTTGTTATTTGAGACAGGGTCACACTGCGTAGACCAGGCTGGTCTGGAACTCCCAGAAGTCTGTCTGCCTCTGCCTCCCAAATTCTGTGACTATAGGCGCATACCACTGCATCCGGTTTATTAGTGCTTTAATTTTTAACTTAACTAAGTAATAAAATTGTAAATTTGGGAGCTGGAGAGACGGCCCAGTGATTAAGAGCACTGGCTGCTCTTCCAGAGGCCCCAGGTTCAATTCCCAGCACCCACATGGCAGCTCACCACCATCTGTAACTCCACCAACTCCCTCTCTGGCTTCCAAGGGCACCAGACACATACATGGTACACAGATAAATATGCAGGCAAAACATGCATACACATAAAAATAAATAAATAAAACTTTTAAATAAAAGGAATGAGCCAGCAAAGCTCACAATTAATATTGATAGTGCTGATAATGATTGAATGGCTTAGTGACTTAGGTGTTAATTCTTTTCTCAGCATTTATTTATTTTGTGTATGCATGCATGAGTGAGTATAGGCATACTTTTGAAAACGTGTTCTCTCGTTCCACTGTGTGGGTGTCAGGAATTGAACTCAGGTCATCAGACCTGACCTCAAGCACCCTTATCCACATCTTCACCAGTCCCTTATGTGTTAATGCTTTCAGGGTTCTATGATAATTGAAACGCTCACTATTTGCCACCTTCTCTGGATATGCGTAAAAGCCATATTTTATATCAATGTAGGTCATCCAAGAAAAGAAACGCTACGAGTCACAACGAGCCAGCAGCTGCTTGCCTGGTATCAGATTGGCTCGTTAGAACACATTCAGAGACCTGAAGACTGATGTGACGTGTGAGGAGGATCTAGAAGGACAGGAACTAAAGCACCTGGGACGGGCAGGTGGCCCAGACCAGCCAGGTTACACAGGGTAGAGAAAGGAGGAAAGCTGTGCACTTTCCACAGTGAAAAGATAAACTCCGGGAATGTCCCTGCTTATATAACCCCAAAGAAATGAAACTGCACATTACATTTTCAAAACTTTGTAACCAGGCGTGGTGACAAACACACACCTGGAAAGTCAGTGCTTAGGAGGCTTCGGCAGCTTGGAGCTTCAGTTCAGTGCCAGCCTGGGTTGTATAAAGGGACACTATGTCAGTCAGTGAAAAAAAAAAAAAAAAAATGGCTCAGTGGTGAAGTGCTTGTTGGGTGAGTGTGGCCACGCGAATTCAGCCCTCAGCACCCCGTAAATGCCAGGCATGACTGCATGTTCCTGTAGCCCCTGCACTTGTTTGGGGGACAGGAGGATCCCGGGGTTCTCTGGCCAGTTAGACTGTCAGAAACACTGAGTTTCAAACTCATTGAGTGTGCTGGTTGTTTTTTGTCAACTTGAAAGAAGCTCAAGTCATCTGGGAAGAGGAACCTCAGTTGAGAAAATGTCTCCATCAGTCTGTCCTACGGCAAGGCTGTGGGGCGTTTTCTTGATTGATGATTGATGTGAGAGGGCCCAGCCCACACCTCTGGACCTCCGCATAAGAAAGCAGGCTGAGCAAGCCACAGGAGGAGCGACCCAGTCAGCAGCATTCCTCGCCAGCTTCTACCAGGTTCCTGCCTTGAGCTCCTGCCCTGACTTCCTTCAGTGATGAGCTGTGACCTGCAGGTTGTAAGATGAAATAAACTCTTTCTTTCACAAATTGGTTTGTTTGTAGTGTTTTATCACACCAATAAGAAGCAAAGTAAGACCATGTCTCAAAAAAAAAAAAAAAAAATGGAGCGTTAGAGGAAAATAATCAGAAACTTTGGACTCTATCAGTGTAGTCACATACAAGCACGCACACACACATGTGAAAAACGAAACTTTAAAACTTTGCTTTAGCCTGTATGGTTATTCCAAGTGCCCATGGACACCTACACACATACACACACCCCATAATATTCCCCATAATCTGTAGGCCATTTCTCTCTTCCTCAGCATCTCAGCTTTGGCCAAGAGATTTTTGGAGGGAAGCAGATGCCAAGAATCCACGGCCTCCCTGACTTTTGTCCATTCTGTTTGCCTTGTCCTCTTCAGATGTCTACTTCTCGTCACATTTTCTTTTCCTGTTTGAACATAAGAAATACAACCCAGAATCAGATGTCTCAAACTTAGCATGCTTCCCCCCACCCCCGATTTATTTTATTATTAAGGGGAGGGAGTTCCTTTGAGGGACAGAGTCTCACTCTAATTCAGGCTGGCTTGGAATTCACTGAGTTTGAAGCACATGGGTCAACCCTTCTGCCTCTGCCTCCTGACTTTTCTCTCAGTCTGCATCCTTGCCTCTGCCATAGAGAATGCCTGTGAGTTTCTCTCTAGTTAGCACGTAGACTGAATATCTTGGATGCCAAGATATTGACCACTGAAGTCACTGTAGAAAGTACAGGTTCCCCAGCACTCCCTGGCTTCCAAACTTGGCTTGCCTCCAAGGAAAGACAAGGAATGGTGACTGGAGGGGGTGACCTGGAAGAGCCTGTTATGCCTGACAGCGCTGCCTTCTCTGAATAGTAAATAGTGTTCTAGAAATCACAACTGAAGCCACATTGATCCCAAGTGGGACTCATAATCATTTACAGAAGGAACCCATATCTGTCACCTCTTGTCGTCTTTGTGACACACCTGGCATGGATTTATGTCTCTATGCTTAAAGGAAGGTAAAATCAAATCGTGTTCTCTAATACTTCTTACTCTGCGGGCACCACAACCATTTCTGTTGGTCCTGTCCCTCCTGTAGGGCTTCCTCACTTCTTGGATCCAGTACCACTGAGTCCACCAGCAGCTGCTACCCATCCCTCTTGGTACGCTGCCGCTGCCAGAATCTCTGTCTCCTCTCACAAGGCTTCTGGTACCTCTCACAGGTCAATACCACATGGGGAGTTTAGTGCCCTGAAAACATGGAAGTCCTGTGGTGCAATGGAGAGTGGAGAAGACTGGCTCCCTCTTCCTAGGTGACAATTTGTTGGGAAACTGCATGCACTGTTCTGTCTATTGGTCAAGGTCAAACATAGCATTTTCATTAGCCCATCCCAATTTTAGTGGATGAGTCAGCCACTAAAAAGCAATTGCCATAACAAACAACCTCAATAACAGTCATTGATTTTAGAAAATACAAGTTGATTGCTAGTTAAGTCACAAGTAGGGACAGGGTAGGCAACACTGAGGCTCTATTTTTGCCTATCGTTCAGGGGCCTGGACTCCTTCCATCCAGCATTTCTATATCCTACAGCCTCAGAGCCCTCTTTTGGGTCGTTGCATCCCCAACTCCTGCAGTCCTGGAAGGAAAGAAATGTGTTTTGAGGAGCGGATGCTCAGTTTCTGTTATGGCTCTCATGTTTACAGAATACAGGCTTGAAAGAATGTGGCAGCACAGGTCTAGTCCCAGAGCCTGAGAGACTAAATCAAGAGCATTGTGAGTGTGAGAGCAACCTGGCCTACATAGTGAGTCCTGGCCTTGTTGGAGCAGCCTAGTGAGACTTGTCTCAAATAAACAAACTAAATGAAAAGAAGCTGGAGCCCTGGATAGTGGAGAAAAATTCCAGGCTTTGTTCTGCTAGAGACTAAAGCCGAGCTGAGTCTGTCCTCCCGGCTTAGGAGCTTACCACTGTGTTTAAAATAAAGCTGCCCCTAGGGGCTGGAGAGATGGCTCAGTGGATAAGAGCACTAGCTGATCTTCCAGATAGACCCAGGTTCAACTCCCAGCACCCAGGTGGCAGCCCACAACTGTAACGCCAGCTCCAGAAGATCCATCACTCTCATACAGACATACATGCAGCAAAATACCAATGTACGTAAAATAAAAATAAATAAACCATTTTTAAAAATTGTTCCTTTAAAAA